GGGGGGACAGAGTCTTGCTCTGTAACCCCCTGGCCAGAGTGCAGTGGCATCATTGTAGCTCACTGCAACCCAAAACTCTTGGGCTCAAGCAATCCTCCTGCCTCAGCCTCCCCAAGAGCTGGGACTATAGGTGAGCACCGGTCACATGGGGTCTCACTCTTGCTCAGGTTCTCAAGTGATCCTCGTGCCTCAGCCTCCCAGGGTGCTAGAGTTACAGGGGTGAGGCACCACCCCCTTGCCTGTATTTTATAATTTCTTGAAGCGAATTGCTACATGAACATTTTATGTAGTTTTTGTAACAGGTAGTAATTTTAAATATTCATGGATATTCCTAGTTCACTATTGATAATAAGTTTTAGTGTATTGCACTAAATTCTTTGAGCTGCCTTTCCTTGCAGCTGATTGACAGTTTACAAATCTGGTATTGCTCTAGGTGTTCTCATAAAAAGATTTTCCCTGTAAATGTGAAAGCATTGTCTATGTTTGAATTTTTTGGATTTATCCTAGTTGTTGCTTGAGATTATTACCTGACTAGTTGAAAGCTCTTAAATTCTTAGAGGTTAAAGTAGAAGTTCAATGACTGACTAGTCTGTCATTCCTCAAGTCTTTGTTAATTGTTCATTGACAGAGATCTAAACATTTTTATTATATTGAAGAATTTTTATTATAAAATTTCATTGAATCCCAGATGAGATATTTTTTGGGGAAAGGGGTGTTAGTGATAAGGTAAATTTGGATGACTGCATGCTTATATTAAAAATATGACAAAGTCTCAGAAGCATACTTTTATTTTCCTAGGCGATGGTCTAAATTTACTTCTCTGGGTCTGGAGGCTGTTAGAATGTCATGTTCTTCAGCAGCATTTTTGCCCTTGTATTTTCCCATAATAGAGAAAAAATTACTTCTCTAATAGAGTTAGATTTAAGATTCTAGTTAATTTTCCTGACCCTTTTCAGAACGATAACAACAGAAGCTTTCTCGCTTTAGTAAACTGATCCTGACCTTTGACCACACATTGACCAAACAGTTCCTTAGTCTCCTTATTCCGTCCTTCTGCATTCCTGATGGTAGCAAGAGGGGATGAGGTTAGATTCCTTGTGAGCTTTCTTGTTCTCGTTGCCTTTGTTCACGTGGAAGGTGCAACAGCTGCTGTGGCTTATGCATTTGTCTTAGCTGCTGCTTCATGTAGTCTATATATTGATAGTAGTTACATCTTTCTGAACAATAACTAACCAAGTCATCTGTCATTTAAGTTTTATAGTTATATTTTTTTCCCCTTTGGATGTATTAAACCTAGACGTTTTAGTTTAGTTTTGTTTCTGTTAATCTTCACACCAGGTCTTTTCTGTGCTTTAGGTTGACTCTTCATCACACTGAAACCATTAGGAAAAATCCTTGTGGTTAACAGCAGAGGCTTCAGAGTGTAACCTGTACTCGGGCCTAGAAATTATTTTAAATGGCGACTGATACGTCTCAAGGTGAACTCGTCCATCCTAAGGCACTCCCACTTATAGTAGGAGCTCAGCTGATCCACGCGGACAAGTTAGGTGAGGTAGGGGCTGACGCATTCTTGAAGCTCACTCTTGGATCAATTCCTGACTTCAGGCCCTGCTGGGTCCTTCTTGGTACATGTTCCTTCCCCTACTTTGGGGAGTCTAGTTTGTGAATCTGAAAATAATCAAATAGAGACCAAGTTCTTTTCATCTTCCCTCTCCCCTCAAATTACTGAAAAAACCTCCAACCTTCTAAATTTATACCAAATCAAGTATAACTATTTGTTTTTATTTGAAATTATAGCTAAAATAAAATATTTTGAAAAGTATTTCTTTAATATTTTACTTCAAGAAAAAAAAAAACCTGTTAAAAGTAATTTGTATCAGATCCTGGAGTTGACTTGAAGAATTCTCCTACATCTTCTGACACCCAGTTAGGCCCTTTGAGAAAGAGAGTGAAGAGAATTTTTTTAAGCATGTTTGATTTAGGCTATCTCTTTTCTTAGAAGGTAGAAGATAGCACCATGCCGATTCGTCGAGCTGTGAATTCTACCCGGGAAACTCCTCCCAAAAGCAAGCTTGCTGAAGGGGAAGAAGAAAAGCCAGGTAAAGCAGTGTTATAGCTTAAAAAGTCAAAACATTTTTACTCCAGTTTGAAGTGTTCCATAAATCCCTTTGAACTTAAAATTGTTCTTTATTCATGGCCAAGTGTTTTGGGGGGAACATTTAAAGAGGAGAAGCAGTAGCTATTATTATGTCATTGCCAAACCATGTGGGAAATTAAGATTTCTTCTTGTCTCTAAAGATTTTTAGAGGGGGAAAATGTCATTTTCTTGGAATTTGAAACAGAAAAACAGTTGGAGAACAGGTATGGTCAAAGAGTAGCATTTTGAACATACAGTATTACGGGGATGAAGGCATTGTGGAAGAATGGAGGACTTGGACCTTTGGGATGAAAAGTGGAAGGTTCATCCAGAAATCATCAGGAGACCTTAAGGGAAGCAAATGGGTGATCAAAACATTGGTCTGTAACTGGTATTGGTGGAGAAAAGATTAGCTAGTCAGAGGTGGGAGCATAATACATGAAGAGGAATGTAGACTTATCAACGTGGAGTACTAGTGCTCCTTTATAGCATCTATAACCACCTCGTCTCCTTTTTCCTGTCTTTTTCTTATCATGACCTTTTCCTTTCTTTCATTATCCTTTTCCTTTTTTCCCTTCTCCCTTGCCTTTTATCGCAGGTTTGCCAGGGTGAGCGCACTGTGCTCTCCCTGTCACAGCTATTAGAACCAAATATTTACTGCCTGACCAGCATATATTAGGAATAGAAAATACATGCATCATTGTTGCCTTTATTCCTTGGTGCAGCAGGGCAGGCATCATTAACCAGTCAATATACTCTTCTGGCTGAGCCTGGATTTTGTCTCAAAATCCTCAATTTGGGCACCCTGGCCTAAGGCAGTTAGGAAACATGGAAATTAGAATATTAAAAAAAGTAATGGGTGCTGGTGATTTGAAGATGGATTATCTTGTCCAGCACTGTAATGCTACTTGGTCCATCTTAATCCATGTTTATTTAACAGCCACCCAAAGCCACTAAATCACTAATAACATCAATTTTTAGAATATATGCCAGGGGTTTCGGATGTATGGTATTGGAAAAGTCAAGAATTAATAGAGGGCCGGGTGCGGTGGCTCACGCCTGTAATCCTAGCACTCTGGGAGGCCGAGGCGGGCGGATCGTTTGAGCTCAGCAGTTCAAAACCAGCCTGAGCAAGAGCGAGACCCCGTCTCTACTAAAAATAGAAAGAAATTAATCGGACAACTAAAAA